CTCCATCCCTGGAGGTATTTAAAAGACGGGTAGACGTGGTGCTTGAGGACATGGTTTAGTGGTGGACTTGGCAGTGATAGGTTAACGGTTGGACTCAATGATCTTAAGGGTCTTTTCCAATCTTAATGGTTTTATGATTCTATGATACTATGATTACTGGGTGAAAAGGAACACATTCAAAAATTTAAAAATCCACAGCTTGAGCTGCTCATGATGCTGTTCTTCTAGCACATCAAGACTTCTGAGAGAACTGATTTGATTATAAGTCAGTATGAAGAAATGCATACAGTGCAAAGCTGCTTCTGTGATTCAAACTCCACATCTTCCAAGCTCCTTTTTTCTTTCCTTTTTTACATACCAGAGTCTTCACTGTATTTTCTAGGGGCTTATCTCTGCCAACCAACACAGCAATGTCTGTTACAAGCATGTAGTACTCAGCTGCAACACACAGCTCAGCAGAGAAGCCCCCCGCAGTGTTCTGGCGTCTCCCTCTCACTCCGAATAAGACTTGATCACCTCCTAGGCTCTTTTCCCCCCAACCCATCTGTGTTGCTTCCTCCAAGATTTTACTCTCTGTATCTTGGTATTTTCATTGATTTTCCACAGGGTGGCACTGCATCCTCATTGCTAAAACCAGTTAATTATAAACACACCAAAATTTAAGTAGAAGAAACTTATCAAGCAATGCACAGGCATATAGGAAAGGGACACAAAGGTACATAAACAGGACAAAAGTCTCTTTCTGACAGAAGTGTAGGCAAGGCATGAGCCCTCTTCTACCCAAGGATTTTTAGATGTGCTAAGCAGTGTTTCTGTTTTCCTTGCACCTAATGCACCTTACAAGTAAGACACCCTCTATGCTATGTCAGTGACTTATACTATGCATGCATATAAAATAAGCAGAGGCACTTCAAAGGCAGGCTGATGTATCCAGTCATGATGGAGGAGCTGAGCCTGGGAGCAGCAGTAAAGCAGCTCAGCATTGATTAGTTAAGCCCGTTTTTTAACTCTGTAATCATCTGTAAGCATGCCAGATATCTTCAGGGATTCATGTTCAGCAGAGAAAATCCTAAGTGAAGCATAACCTAGTCAGGGTCTGCTCACCTCTGTAATTAGGCATCAAGGATGTACACTGCATCAAAAAGGATGAGGCTGTATAATACTATGTGCCAATGTTTCCCAGTGTTTTTTTAGATAAGGTTACAGCCACCAGCCTCTCCTCCTCCCCATTCCCCTGCCTCACCCCAGCAACCACCCAGCGCCATTACTGAGTATTCATTCCCATCCCAGCATCTTGTGGTCCCCTCCTTGCAATGGCTAGGGCAGCTCCTAGCAGAGCTGCAGGAGCTGGCAACAGTGGGACAGGGAACTGGCATCACCTTAAAGAGGTATGAGGCTTTAGGAAGGACCCTGGGATGGAGAAGTCCAAGTTGCAAAGGGTGAAGGAGGTGGGGCTAAGGTGCAGTGATGAGCCAGTGCACAAAGGGAAGCATGCAGTGAGGAGGTGGGAGGCCCCTATGCTCTCCCTCTGCATCTACCATCACTGGATCTCCTCTGTCCTCAGGCTCTGTGGCTACTTTCTCTGGGAAATTAAAAAGGAATTGCTGATCTTTTCAGGACAAATGTGCAGAAATGCATACTTCCAGTATTGTTTACTTTCTTTCAAAATAAGGCTATTCTATCCTACATAAAAAGGTGCTGTCACTTTATTTCAGCTCAGTGTTGTGATGTAACTTGACTGATGCACAGTATGTAGTAGAGCAAAAGCCAAATACAAAGCAAAGCATTCCCCTAGTCATTTTTCCCTA